TGCAATTTCTTTTGGACGGCCGAGCCTGTATTGGTCATTAGCCAAAGCCAAGTTGACTTGACTTTCTCTCGCTGGTGCAGAGTTTTCTGCAGATTGTGCAAAAAATGTATCCACAAAATGCGACACAAATCTTCTTTATTGCTGCTACGTTTTTGCATACACAGACAGGTGGGCAGCGCGACACATTCACACACAGAGACACACACGCATACATATATACAAATTCGTACATATAGTATATGTATGTGTGTGTGTGTGTGCAGACTTTGACAAGAGCACATTAGGGCCTAGGCAAACAACTAATGGCCTTTTAAGGCATTTTGTTCATAGGGCTCAGGTATTATTGCTCTCCATTTTGGTTGCTTAGATTTTTGCCAACCGGCCCATGCAAGGATCGACCAACGAACGGCCGACCTTTCGTTCGTTGTCCGTTCTGCCGCCCTATCTGTCGGTCTGTCTGTCTGTCTTTCCTTTTGTCTGTGGAGTAGGTCGACACAGATGCGTCCGAGCTGCCGGCATGTTGTTTTAAATTAAAAATCCACACACTCCACGAATACATACACACACACATACACACATACACACATACATACATATGTACGTTCAAACTGCTTGCAGGTGGAAAAATATTTTCCATGTTTGCAGTTTAAGCTAAAAATTTGATTTATGCCCCGGGCGGCTTATATGTATTTTATTGGATTTGTCTGAGCTTGTTTTTTGTGCTGCAGATGTTGTTATTGTTGTTGTTGTTGTTGATGTTGTTTTTGTAGTTGATGATGATGCACGTAGCTTTGGCAAAGCACTCTCATATCCCACCCTGCTTCTCCCTATCTCTCCTACTCCCTGTTGTGCCCGTTTACGATTTTCAAGAACTGACCAAAAAATGTTACCCATGTACTTCAGGGCTTTGCTGGAAAATATAGCGCATACGTAGCGCAAGTCGAAATCGTATCGGATTCTTCATATTCGACCTACACGTGCACATTCAGAATGCAACGTACACACACACACACACATACAATGTACACATAATTCGCTGCACTTGAGCAGCCAATTACACGCACACACGCCAATGAACTGACGATGTCGGATGATGTGGAGGAACGGGTTGGGTGTGTGGCCAATGCAGTTCATGACTTGATTATGCCGCTCGCTGCACTTGCACAAATTTGTTTTTGGCAGTTGATGAAGTTGCATTTATGCCGTCGACAACATGCCACACAACGACAACGACAACGCCAGCGCCAACATCACCTCTATGCTCTGACTTATGTGTGTGATTTTTGAGACATTATCCTGGCATGCGTCGTAGTTAGCTGAGCTGGCATGCATAGAAGCATAGTGCGTGTGTGTTTGTGTGTTTTTGTGTGTGTGTGTGGGTAAATGTGCGTGCTCAATGGCACTTTGATAGCCTCGAGGCTAGACGTCATTTTCAGACTAATTATCGCCAGTTGCCGTCACTGTGCGGCATTTGCACACGAACCGCAATTACTCACGGGTTGACATTGCCACGACTTTAGGGCAGGCGTCTAGAAATGCAAGGCAATCCAAATTGTGTTAACTATTTCCCTCTTGTTTATCACCAAAGGAAGCACGACAAAGATTATTCAATTTTCAAAGGACTTAGTGCAAATACTTATTTCAAATGATATTTTGAAGGTCCAGGCAGGTCACAAAAAATCGTTTTATGGAAATAATATAGTCTGTATTATTTACACCAATTTATCTGGGAACGTATATTACTCCTTAAAAAGAAGCTGTCCTGTTTCGATAATTCAATACTGTATTGTGTAGTAGAATAAGAACATACGGAGACTCCTTGGCATCCCCCTGATCACGCCCCAGACTCCCTGGTTGATCACTTTGTAACTATATGTTGTGTTTCATTTGCTTCTCACAATTGTTTCTTTCTAGATTATAAGATTCAAATCATTTCTAACTATACTTTTTTTTATTGGTCATTGAATTTTGGAAAATATGTAAATCTCCACAAATTATCTTCAGTATGCATTAAGCATTTTTGGTAACCAAATTATGTTCCTTGCACATTTCACCTTAACCTTACCTTAATTTTAATCGAAAAAGTAGTTTTTTAAATATTTTCTGGAATCTACCAATCGAATATACATGTAAATACATATGAGCATGAAGTGTTTATCCTTTGCTTGCATATGCTTGATTGATCAACATGGATGATGAAGCCTTGAATACATAAGTTTTTATTCCCCACCACCAATTTTTGTTTCACAACAGCCTTCCCTTTCAGCTTCACTACCAATTACTGTCCCGCAAGACTTCAAGGTGGTCGCTAAGTTGTCATTGTGTTTATCTACAATACCTTGCTGTCAGGCAGTTATCCTTGGCATGAATTTGCATTCCTGTTGATTTGAAAGGCCAGCTTCTCTTACTGCACTGACAGTTGTGCAATTACCATGGCAGGCGACATTACAAACGACCGCGAAAATGTTGAGAAGTTTCTGCTGTGCTGCTGCCTTCCAAGTGGCAAAGTGTTAGCAAATTAAAGAAATGACTGGACAGTTTTAAATCGTGGGAAACTCGGCAAAAATACCTACGCCAGTTATACAAGTACACTTATGATAATTTTGTATTTTTTTAATACTATTTGCTTTCACTTCTTATCACACAACGCCTGAGTAAAATGTAAGGAGGAGGCAGGGGGCAAAGGGCGCCTATCAGGTAACGGTAACGGCAACAGCATCTGCAACGCCGCCAGCCTCGGTGCCGGCAACTGTGCAGCAAAGTGCGCTGAAGTGCAAAAAGTATGCACATTAATTCAAGCAAAAATAAATTATGAAAGTAAAAAAGGCGCCTCCACTTTTCGCTGCTCGTGCATTTTATGACGTTTAATGTGCTTCTGCTGTCAGCAACAGAAGTTGCCGCCGACGACGCTGCTGCGGCAGCAGAAAAGTTGCATCAGCATCAAGTAATCGGAGATGGAGAGCGCAGCGGCAGCGGCAGCGTGGTGTGGCGTGGAGTGCATTTTGTTGATTTATAATAAAATAATGTAAAAATATTACACAATAATGAATGCGCGCGGGGTGTCCTCCATTTGCTCCCAGGACCTACCACTACACAGACACGTGCCTTCATCTCCCATCTCATTCCCTTCACCCACCATTTGACTTTGTGTCTGCGTAAAGAGCGCGTGGCATAAAACATGGAAATGTTAAATGCACAACAACAGAAAGAAACGCTCAAAGAAAAAAGTTTCAAAAAATATGAAATATGCGAAGGAATAAAACTTTTAACTAAAAATATGTATGTAACGCGGCGCACACATAAACACACATACATTTAATTTCAAGTGTATGCGTATGTATGTGAGTATGCCTTGTATGTATTTATCATGTTGTTTACGGTTATTTTTTTCCCCATTCAAAAATGTATAAGTGTGTGGCACCCTTGTCAAAATACCCTACAACGACTGAGCAAACTTTTAAAACTACCTTACCTTTGAAGAGTAGAAATAACAAACTTTAGGTACCATCGAATTATATTTTAAATATTATCTTTATATATTTACTAAACGGAATATATTTGCAGCTTTTCAAATACTTTGTATATTTTTTAAGTATAGTTTTATTAAATATTGGATTATTTTAAGAAAGAAATATTTTAAAACTTTTTTACCTTTGAAGATTAGAAATAACATAATTGTGCTTTAAGTAACATCGAAGTATGTATTAAATATTATCTTTATAATGCAGATGTTTTGTGTAAATATTTACTAAACAGAATATATTTGCAGAATTTCAAATATTTTCTATATTTGAAAAGCTTCTATATTCACTTTCTTAAGTAAAGTTTAATTAAATATTGAAAATGAGTTGGTGCAAAAAAAGCCATAATTTTTTTTTTAAGTGAAGTCGTATTACAAGCTTCTTTGTTACTAAGAAGAATTATAAATAATATTACTTTCCTTATTCACATGCAAATATTCATCATCATAATTTTTCAAACTCATTTAAGTCAACTTAATATTCAAAATTAGTCTTTGCCAGTTAGGCTTAATAGCTTTTATAAAATAAGTTCTGGTGAAACAAATAGGCCAAAAATTTTGTTTATAATTGAAATTTGTTTTTTTTTTTATTGTAAAAATCAGATATGCATTAATATTGAGACTAATTTTTTGCTGCCGCTGCACATAGCAGCAATAAAAACAGAATCAATTAAATATACTTGTAAATCAATAATCTTTATTTTAAATCTGTCCTACGTTGGATTATTGTTTAATTTTATTATAAATTTGACATTTTTTTAATCATGCTTCCGACGTGTTTCAAATATTGATTCTGCTAATAATAATACTTTGAACCCATTCTCCCACAAACGTCACAATGAAATATTCTTAAGTCAAGTCTTGGAAGCGTACAATGCTTTCAGCTACGCTCCAAAAGTCAACCCATCCAGCTAACATTTGATACGATAGATGTGTGTGCTTGTGTGTGTTGCATGTCATGGCGTTCCTGCAACTTTATCGCACAGAAATTGCATCATATTTCACGAGCGCGACAAAAATAAAAACACAACATGAAAAGAAATATACTATACATATAAAATAAACATAAAAAAGGTGGAAAGTTAAGGACTTAGCGTAGGAAACTTTTACCTGCACTTGGCCAAAACACACGTTCACTCACCAGCTGGCTAAGACGGACAGAAGCCATACGTCGTGAGATCCAGCTAAGACGTAGCCACAGCATTTTGTGTTGCGTCAACGTGGTTACAACAATAACAGCAACAGTAACAACAACAGTAACAACAACAGTAATATAAAATATAATCAAATATGAATAAAAAGTTTTCTGAAAAATGGCAATGGTTAAAATGTCTGCCAACGCTGCGTATGAGTAATGCAGCTAAGAGAAAAGAATTGAAATACTTTACATTAAATCATACCAATGAACTTTATTTAGACATTCCACTGCTGATTATAATTTGTAATGACGAAAGGTTCATTTGGGCACCTCTTGTGGTGCTCAGAGCGCAATCTTTGGTATAATTTTGAAAACTCGAAGATAAACTTTTAAAATGCACATAATTAATGAAAGACCAAATGTCGTCTTTAGCAGCGTGTGCAGCAGAAGCATCCTGGTTGTGGGGCAGTCGAGGGCAGTAAGAGGATCGGCAGTCGACAGTTGGCGGCCATGGCAACGAACGGCAAAAGGCAACAGCATGAAAGCAAACAAAGTGTAATTAAAAAGTACTTAGTGACTGCCACTCGCTCACAAGCCGGCTGGCTAGCTAGCTGACTGACTGGGGGCACTCGCTGGCTCACCTGCGATAAATAGTTTTGCGCTGCTGCAATTTATTATCGTTAACGTTATCCTTAAAGAAGTAGCGCCGTATGCCGCTGAGATACGAGCGAAAATATTCGCTCCAATTAATCGTCGCTATGTTGAACTGCAACAAACGTCTTTCTGCTGGCGGCACCAATGCGTTCAGCTCGTCAATGTTGCGATGCGAGAATTTCCACTCCTTCAGACCGAACCAGGCCATCATATTGATTATGCGCGAAATTTTCCGATATGCCTTCACGTAGCTGCCGAATGTGACGAATATCAGTATGCATGTATGTATGTGTATGGGTGTGTATGAGTATGAGTCTGTGATTACCTACTTTGGTGCAGCTGCTGCTGCTGCTGCTGCTTCTGCTCTTGCTGTTGCAGGTAATTGATGGCAAAGCGCAGCTAATGCGCCCTAATTGCAATTTGTTAAATATAGCGTATACGCCATGTTGCGCACAAGCAACCTGCACACAGAGTCGACTCAACACACAAATAGATACATACTATGTATCTGTATAAACACAAATTCTATTCAATAGCATTTCTATGTACCGCTTAAAATCCTTTCTATGTTGCTACACCCACACAACTCTAGACTCTCTCTCACACACACACACACACGTGGAAATAAATAAACAGACAGACGAAGAGCCAAATACAAAAACCAAACCTGGCCGCTCAGGCACATACACAACACACCTACATATACTCACACACATATTTTCAATGCTTGCTTAGGACTGTTGCCAACCTCTGCCTGTGTTATTGTATTGTACTTCGTGTGAGTTGACAGTGCAGTGCACTATAGAGTAGATTCCCAACAAGGGTGGATGAACTTTATTGGAAGAAAACATTTCTTAGAATACTTGTACACATTGATTTAAAATCAGGTCTCTGATTCAATCAAGTATCGGGCTTTCATAAAACGTTCTTATCTAGAAAAATAAAATCGGCTTCAAGGGTACCTAGCCATAACCTAACTGGAAGTAAAGTTTTGTTTCAATTCAGCCTGGACATATACATAATATAAAAATTATCAAGATAATTCCATGTCAAGGAATATTGTTCCTTACGTCTATTTTTCAAACTTATCATTTTTGGCATTTCTTGTGATATTTAAAAATTGTTGTAAAAAACATGTACTTTAATGTTTGTTTGGAAAACAATTTTCAAATTACTTTTTAAGCAAATGTAGATACGAATACTTATACAAAAATCGGTTTTATGTTGATGATGATGAAATTATACAAACAAAACCGATACAATGTTATTATTTCTATTTCGAATTTGTTTTAAAGATAATCTAAAAATAAATTCAGAAAAATTAAATGGAACAAAGCCCAAAGATGGAACCTGCATTATTAATAGCTATAGTTATTAAGTCATTTCAATCTGTATTTCTGTATATTATAACTAAATTGCATATTAAAGATGAACGTAAAACAAAAATAAAACATACGATCAACACACGCATACTAACTAACTAACATTAAGTTGGCAAGGATATCTGATAAGTTTGACCAATAAGCGATCAATCTGACTAATACGTTTTTTCCCATTTGTGTTCAAAATTATGTTTAATGTGACCCACTGTACTACGGATACTTACATGCGCTTTTGTCCGGTGACCATGGCAATTAAATCTAAAATATAAGCTGGGATATTGTGCAAGAAAAATGCAATTGCACAATGCAGAGGCTTCGAGGGTATTATAACGTACGAGAAGCACCTGTGACAATAATGCGGTCGAGTGGTCGAACGTTCACCCGTGTCCCCAGAACAGCACCGTATCCAGGATACCATGCATTGTCATTCGATTGCCATCGAAGTTTCAGTTTCATTTTCGTTTTCGTTGCCGGTTACATTGGCATTTGGTATTTTTGCCAGCAGCGCATGGCATGTTTGTGTTGTATTTGTTATTTTTTTTATTTTTCAAAATGTTTTTCATCGTTTTGGTTTGTTTGTAGTGCGCGTTACATTTCCATTTTAGTTGTTTCAAGGTATTAGCAGAGCGTAGATAAATTTTGTGAAACGTTTGCACAGAAATACAAATGTAGAACATATTTAAGCATCGGATTAGACATGGATACGATATTGCGGTTTCGCATGTGTTTGAGTGCAAGATAAAAAAAAACGTATGGAAGGGAATATTTCAATAAAATATTTTACTTTTTTTATTCAAATTTTTAGTTATCTCTGTGTACTCACCAGAGCGCTTTGTCAAACGGCTCGTGGAAGCCTTTACGCGACAGATCCATATATTGACCCCAGGTAATATTGTTCACATCGGACACGTAGTTATAGACAGGCAACTCAGCTTTACCATCGGGCTGCCTCAATTTAAATCTGAAAATATAAATACGGTTAAAGATAATTTTCGTTTATGTTTTCATGCCATTTAAAGTCATCTTAATTGTAACTTGTTCAAAAGTTGTCCAAATATTTGTTCCACTACTTATTTATTAACCAATAACTTTATCCCATAAAGGGGAGTTTTTCTATGTCAAAGCTTTTCTACAAAGTGAAAAGACATTTTTTGAAATATTTAGACGATTCAAGAAATTACGAAATTTTGAAAAATTCAAGTATGTGGAAATAAATTAATGCAAATGTAACTTAAGGAATTCCCGTAAAAATATATCCTCAAAAATTACTTTAATATATATATAATCCTGGCACTCGATCACAGCTAACATTTATAAGCTTAAGAACAAGTTTAAGCAAAAAAATCTGATTGAAGTTGAAAGTCTAAAAGGCCTTTTGAGAAATATAAATAAATTGAAGCATGTCCATATTTGTAATTGCGAGATAAATGTATGTCATGCTCGTAGTAAGTTTTTCCTAGCAAAGTGCTTTTTACTTTATATTTACTTAAATTTTACAAAGGTACGAGTTAACAATAATATGAACCAAGTTTGATTTTAAAATGTTTAAATCAGTTGCTCCAGATTAGGAATACTGGCACACAATATAATAAGACAATACTATGCTGTAAAAAAAACTTATCAAGCTAATTGTATCCCACGCTTTATAAGACTTAAGACACCATTCTAATTTGCTTGAAAAAAGTTTAAATGAGGCTATTTGAGAAGCGAAATGGTCGAAGCCTCGAAAATAGAGAAAGGCAAAATTAAAATTTCATTTCAGCTCCAACAATTAAACTTGATTTTCTGTCCCTTAGCTAGAATCCATCCCATCACATGTGTACATCAATGTCACTTAGAAAATTTTAAGCAACTTTTCCATGTACAATACTTGTATAGTATACATGAGCAGTGAGCGCTTGTTTATGCTTAGCCAGCGAATTGTGGACCAACCTTCTTGCAATATCCCAGGCGGACGCTATCATTGCATTCACCACATAATCGGCGGGCACCATGTTCGCCTTGCAACTCGCCGTTCCGTAAATGCAACGCACGAGTCCCCGTGCCGTCCAAGTGCATAAACCTGATGGCCCGTACAAATTATCAGTCCAGCCGGGAAATGGATCCTTGTACGTTGACATTACTGCAAATAAATAAGAATTAATGGCTGCTCTGGCCTCACTTGGCTTGCTTCGTAAGCAGTCGCTTCTCATTGCTTCCGCTGTTACTGTTGCAGTTGATTTTTGTACTGGCAAAGCGATAATGGTTCACTGCCACCCACACGGTGCGCTCACCAGCTTGTCTGCCCACAAAACTGCTAACTGATATGTCTGGCTCCCAATTGCAAGTTTTGCACTTGCATTTTTTTTTAGCTTTATAACCAAAGAGTCAGCAGGCAGACGAGACGATGGAGGGCAGAAGGCAGTGAGGCAGTCAGCTTAGTGTGCATGCTGCACTGGCAGGGCATGCTTTGGTATTTTTGTGTTAAAATAAATGAAAATTTGTTTGTGCTTTGTTCCAGACCCTTGTTCTTTGCCCAGCCCAGCGTATCACGACAACGCTCGCTTGGCAGTCGTTCACACTACTGGCTCCGATAAGACAGATAAATAAATTTCGCAAACTTAGGGCACCAGATGGCTTGGAAGAAATAGTTGTAAACGTTTTGATCCCTAATCGCTTGACACTTAGAGTTAAAATAAGCAGAAAATACAAAAATGAGGGAAAAAATGCCAAGACATGACAAGACTGCCTGTTGATTTATGTTTTATATTTTTTTCTCATGTTAACATGCTTTTCAAGAAAAATAACCTGAGTAAAAAAACAGTTGTGTAGGAAAATAAACATATTTGTAATTGTACGGCTACTTGAATGAATTACTTAAAACATCTATAACTATTTAAATAGACCTCTACGTAAATAATATTCTATACTTCTTTGATGGAATGAAAGCAACATTTTCGGCACCTTCATTAACAACTTAAACTTTGAGAAACCGCCTTCATCTAAGTAATATTTGTCTTTTTTTTTACTACTTTATATTTTTTTAGGAATTTCAGATGTTCTATAAACCGAAAATATAATTATAAGAGAATGAAACCTAATTGTTATTTAAAATCTAGTCGAAAATGTACGGAAAATTTGTTTTATTGTCTGAATGATCCTTCAGCCTCCTTCTCTGCCTTTAAATCCTGACTCTTGGTCCAGCTAAGTCAGCCACGTTACATTTATACTTTGGCATTTGCTGGGGTTTGTTTTCGTTACGTTTCGTTTGGTTGCTGGGGCACAAAGTTTTTCTGCATGCATTTATCTATTCATCCACCCACCAGCTGTCCCTTGTTGGTCACACACACACACATACACACACACACACATTCACACACATACACTGAGCTGCTTGCCTGCATTCAAAATGTAACGCTTTTCGCTATTTTTCACAAATTTTAAATATTCCTTTTTCTAGTTCTTTTGCTGCTGCTCCTCCTGCTTCGGTGATCCTAATCCTTTGGGGCCTCGTTTGGCCAAAGACCACAATGCCAGCTGCATTTGGAGTTTCTAGTAGTTTGGCTTCTCATTTTTGTAAGCAAGCGCATTTTTGGCTTTCCTTCTTGGCCAAATTCGTTGTCGTTTTCGGTGTCGGTGTGTCTGTGTGCTTTGCATGCCCTTGGGTATTTGGCTAATTATCTGACAATTAGTTTGTGAAGTCAAGTTTGAAACCACAAACCAGAGCAACCCAGATAACTGGCTGGCCACTGGCATTACTCGTAAGTTTCATTTGTTGCGTCTTACTGCTGGGACTCACCTATTGGCGGTCGAAAGATGCCCGCGGGCATGTGATATGCTCGATGGTTTACCAAATTCTCAGCGCACTTCTTTGTCATTGTGTAGGTGTTGGGCATCTCACCAATTAGGCAGTGACGCATTTTCTCCAGAGTCTCGTCGTCAAAGATGCGATAGATCTGAACAAAAAAAGAAACAACAACAGGTAGAAACATGTAGCATCCAATCCAATATTCAATTCAAGCGGGCTAAGGAGGGGTGGTGCTCTGTTGTAATTGCAATTTGGTCGCGATTTTTTAATTTAAATAAATTGTTGCGCACATCGACCGATCGGCAGCGACGATATGTGTGCACATCAAATAATAACACGTATGCTTGATGCACAGTTTGCTTTCCAATCCTCCACAATTTTGGCCAGTTCCGGGCCAGAGACCGAACGAACGAACGAACGAACGAATGAACGAATGAAATAACGAAAACCCACCTGCATGATTTTTTCGTAGCCAATTTCACTCTCATACACTTGTTCCTTGATGAATTTGCGATTGCAGTTGCAGTAGAGTGTCGAAATGTGCACGAAGGACTGCCCAGGGTAACAGTGCGAGGGGCGGGTGACGCATGTCGAATGTTGATTGAATTGTGTTGAAATTGTTTCCGAGCGCCGTAAAATATGCAACAAAAAATAACACGATGTAAATATTAAAATTCATATGCAAATATTTTCCATGCAGACATGCACGTATTTTATGTATTTTGGTTACTTAAATGTGCCAATATGAATTTTTCACCTCCCAAAAAATAAAAGTACAAGTTACACCTGCATTCTTTCTGTTTAAACAGCAAGCAGAGTCAGTAGCTTAAAGGCATTTTTCGTAAATATAGTATGACACATAAACGAGTATGTATGTCATGTTAACACAGCGAAGAGAGGTTTTCAGTGTACCAGTTCGGGCTTTATTTGGCACACATCAGACTTTAGTGGGCAAAAGATCACTAAAAACAAATATCCAAACAAGGACAATTATTTCCTAGTAACTATCGATGAATAATACCTCTTGTAAGTAAAGCCGATCATCAAATATTCTATAACTAACCTCAATTTTTAATTGAAATGAGAAATAGCTTTAGATTGTTGTACACCCCTTTTGAGGCAACAAATAACTATTTATTTATTGGTTTTTTTATTTATTATTAATTTTTAATTGAAAATGTATAATTGCTTTAAAAAGCTGTTATTTTCCTATTTTCTTTATATTCTTCTTTAAAATGTAAATTCATATACTTTACTTTATTTTTGGATAACTTAAATTTCTTTGAAAGTCTCTTAATATATGTATTTTAATTTCAAGTTTAGTTTCAGATCCTGTTTCTGAATAAAATTGAAAAACTGCTGAGTTTTATATTTTTTTGGATAACCTAAAGAGACAAAAACAATGTTTTACTTGTATTTTTCAAATTAGTTCTGGTGTTTCTCTTGCTTGTGTTAGTTGTTTTTTAAAAGTCTGCTCCAGAAAGTGTTATAAAGTTAATTCCATTAATTAGTTTTAATGGGTTTTATAAAACGGTTTTCATACAAATTATACATACCTTCAATTGCTTCATTTCCGTGGCCAAATCCACTATCTTGTTTGTGCCCAGGACGTTGATGTCAATGGCATCGCTAAGTTTCTCATTGAATTTAACCGATGCTACAACATTGAAGACTATCTGAAACATGAAAGCAATGTAATGCATATTAGAATTTGCTAAATTCCAAAACAGAGCCAACAGCAGCATCACTACTACTAACAACAACAACGTAGGCAGCTGCAGTTGTGCAAGGACATACAAAATGCACGAGAATTGAATGCAAAATGGACGCAACTGTAGAATGCAGCTGGTTCCCCGATACATATGGGAATGTAAACGTGTGTGTGTGTGTGTGTGTATGTTTTTGTGTGTTTGGTGTTGCCCGCTTGCTGCTTGCCTGTTGGTTCATTGTGATAACCTCAAAGTCAGCGTGCAGGCGCATACACGTACCAACGCACAATAGAACCACCACATAACACCACATACTCGAACCTCCATCCAACTGAGCGCTGGATACTTCGTGCATTGAACATCGAACACAAAACAATTTTAGTTTTAACATGGCAGATGCGAAAAAAAGGCTCTAGCACTTGGCATAAACAGGAAGGAGAGTTGGCGACAGGATGGGAATGAAGGCGGGAGGGAGGGTGAGGGTATCTGAGTGACTTGTATGCAAAATGTTTTGCAAAATGCATACAAATAGAACGCCAGGCGGATGGATGCAGTGCTACTGACTGGCGGCAGAGATAGGACAATGGCTCGCGTACACCACAACAGGCAAACAGCCGAACTGCCGTTACACTTGAAGCATGCACAGGAATTTTCATTTATTTATATATTGTTTTTTATATCCATACTCGCACGTTCTGTCTTCTGCCCTCCTTCCACTCTTCCCCCCTATCTTTCTTGTGTCCACCTCAGTCAGCCAGCTCGGCTACACAATTTTACAATTTTACGTGCTGAGTTTCAATTTTTGTTGAAAAGTATAAAATATATATATATATATATGCATGCAGGCATAGATAGGTATTACCCGATAGAGATGTGCAGTATACGTGATTTTGAATTTACAAGTTTGTGTTCATCCCAGCTTCTTCAAAAGAAATGGGACAAGAACTTTGTTAAGATTGGAGGGAAATTTTGTACAGCCTTCCAGATAATTTTTCCAAAAGAACTGAACTCGAAAGCTGATTGCCATTGTACTTTTTAATAAAATGCCAATTTTGCCAACACAGAATTCATTTGCTTCCCTATTACGAGGTTCCATTTAAGGCTCTAAATATAGTTATGTTTATTTATATGCGGAATTTTCTGTTGGGATTTTAAATTGTTATATCTCGCTCCCTCAACTGATTTATGTTTGCAAAGAATTATCTATTTCAAATCTAAGTAAGCAAACATCTTACAAATGGGGCTCATTTTGAATGCGGCGTTTATGTTGCTTTTCATTCCAAAAGTGTCAGTTATTATGAAAACTGAAACAGAACCAGCCCAACTTCATCTGAAATATTTACTTAACAAATGTTCTTGTGCAACTTTAATTGGAAAATCTATCACATATTGAGCTGACATAAACAAACCATAAGCAAAATATTGTTTTGAAATTTGAACGCTATAATGGCGTGTATGTTTTAATCCCTAAATTATTATTTTTAAAATTTGTATTTATTCTATTTAGTTTTAAGGGAGATTTTTGTAGAATACGCATTTATACTATTGCAGTAGCTGTTTGAATTTTTAGTTACAAATTTGTACTAATACACATTTTACATTTTTTTAATCAATGAATTTTTTATGAGTTGTATTATCAAAATCATGTAATTTAAGTGTCCTTAGTTTTGTAAAAAAAATGTATAAGCAACAACTAATCAAATTCTGGGAATAGAATATGTTGAAGATATTTATGTTTTGATCTGATGACTTGCTTTACAACGAAAAACATGTTTTATTTTCAAAGTCTCTCACGCGTTGAGCCTAGCAGGTACGTTGTTTCTGCTGCTTTTTGTGCTGCCATTTTTTATGCGCCGCTTTAAACGTGCCTATGAGCGAACAAGTCAAACAAAATGTTGCCATGGCGAAACGGAGAGTGCCAGAGAGAAAAAAAGCATAAAAGGGAAATAAAGTGAGTAGTGCCTGTGTCTGTTATTGTCGTAAACATTGCCTGCTAGGCAGCCTGTCTGCCTTTGGCAGGCCACGCTGCGTATACGTAACAAACACTCACACAAACACACACACACACTTACATATCAAACTACTGCAGCAGGCAGATAGACAAATAGACAGACAGATGGGCAAACACAAAAGTTTCATACAAAAGTCCATTGATTGAATTGCCAACACAGCAAGCGCCAACAACAAAAACTCACTTGGACTTCAGACGAGAGCATTGCACGGTCGGCGGCATCGATGTCCAGGTCGATGGCACTGTAATCAGCGCGTATCGCATGCAGCTTCTCAAACAGGCTCGGGCAGTCGGAGCGTATTGTATTGAATATCTGGAGGAGTGAAAGGAGCGCAACGATTGGATTTGAATTATCCTGAGGCGATTGGCATGCAGTCCAGCACTTACCGACTCATTGAGAAACTGCTCCAAACGTTGCTCCACGCTCATGTTGTCCTTGCAGCGTATCAACATGTAAATTTTACGCAAGCCAAAGGCACGCAGCAACTTCTCCGTAAGCACCTTACCCACGAATCCAGTGCCGCCCGTAATGAGGACTGTGGCATCTTTGTAGAAATCGGCAAATGGGGTTTCGCTATCGGCCTGGCCCTCATGTTGACCGATGGCTTGGGCTATGGACGTTGGATTAAAACACTCGGCGCTTGTGTTATAGCTGCTGCGACGCGACGATGATGTGGATGAGAAGGCCTTGCGAGCTCCTGTAGCTGCTCCTCCTCCCGCTCCTCCTCCTGCTCCTGGTCCTGCTCCTGGTCCTGCACCTGGTCCTGCTCCTGGTCCTGCTCCTCCTCCTGCTCCTCCTGCTCCTCCGCTGGCCTCCGCTGCATAGAGGAACCAAACGTTAAATTTGCAAAAGCAGGAGAAAACGTCACAATTCTTACTGTTTTTGGAGCTATCACTGGACATTGGTTTGAATCAATTTTTACAACCGTTCGTCACCAACGTAAAGAACGCATTGATAGCCAGTTTTTTAATTTCGAAAGTGTTCAAATATCACCTGATGCCAATCAATAAATGACAGTTATATACTTGTCCAGATTTTCCCATCATTACAAATGCACACAATGTGAACGCTAGCCGTTTGTATTTCCTTATATGTAATAATGCTTAGATTAGTGTTGTGCCATTAACTAGTTCATATGGCGGTATATGAACTAGTTCGGTGTTTTAATTCGTAGCTCATTACGATTAAAGTGAATCATTTTAAAAGTATTTAGTACAATTTAATTACTCGGCGTCAAAATAAATGAAATTATTTTATAGTCAACTTAACTCGAAGTTCAACTCAGTGTACCTTTTTGGAATGGAAAATAGATGCGAATGTTTTAATACTTAAGTTGTCTTATATGCTAAGCTCAATATGATAGAGATGTAAAAATAATTAAGGGTTTAAAACAAATATAGAACCGTTATTTAAACAGATTTCTCATAATTTTAACTCTTTACGCCACACACCTTTTTAAATCGAAATCATTAATATAAGATCAAATCTGAAGCATTATAAACGAACAAATTAAAGAAATTAAGTTGTAAATGAAGTTCATGAATTCATGAATGCAACAATGAACATTGCTTGACTCCCGAACAGAAAATATCACAGGGAAGGCCCAATTCAAAACTTTAAAAGAGAATATTTGTAGAAATTGCCATAATATTCGATTTTATAAATAAGTTAAATCTAGCTAGGGAAAGACATTTTAAACAATACTCCTACCACTAGCTTACATTGTAGTTCACTTTTAACAGTCCTCTTTTTTTTTGAACTAGATTTGGCATCCCTTCTTCGATTGATATGTTCCTTTTAAAAGGTCTTTCCCATTATAGTTCATTATATTTCCTACCCGAGTGAGCTGGCCCCACGTTTACCAGCTAAATGATGTGCGTGTGTGCCGGTTGCGGCTTGACTGACATTGTGGTTGCAATTGACCTGCTGACCTGTACTGCAAGCACACACCCATACACACACACTCATATACTATGTGTGTGCATAGGTATAGCACCAGTGGCGCGGCGGTAACGTCACGCTAACAAAACATACATACATACTCATCCATACGCACATGCCTGGGGCGATTTTAAACATTGTTAATTATTCAATTACCAACAGCCAATGTTAACGAACAGACTGCATCGGCACACAAACACACGGCAAATGTGCGCAGGAGTATGATTTTTGGGTGTGTGTGTGTATATCACTTTAACCACTGACATGGTCGGCATGTCCAGCCAGTTCATCGCGTGCTGTAAGTGAAAGTGTGTAAGGATGTGTGTGTGATTGTGTGTGTGTCTGATGGCAAAATGCTGCACATGTCCTCTGATTGTATGTGAAATATGTGTGTGTAGGAGAGAAAGCTAAATATTGCGTGCCATTCTTTGCGTTCTTCTCTCTCCTAATGCTTTTGTTGCTGTCATGCTGTCATGCTTTTGTTGGTGTTTGTCTTCAATATCCTGCTTTGTTTGCTGTGTCATTTGGTTGGCCTAATAACATTGATTGTCTCCATGTCAATGCATATTTCATAGTTTTAAACTAGAAAGAAAAATAAATGATTTTGATTACGGGATTAAGGAAACAACAATGAAAATAGAAACGGGGTATCCGAGAGATCCATTATTTTTTTCAAAGCAATTTTGACTTATAGTATATGCCATGTCTCCTAGCGATCTTTTTTTTCTATTAACTGAAGATGAAGACATGTAACGACGCGTTGCACAGCAACCAGCTGTGCGTCGTCACGATGCCAGAGTAGGCGAGTAGTTTTAAGAGGTAGTTTAAGTATTAGAAGAAATAAGTAGTTTAAATTTGGAGTTTTAGTTTTTAGTCTTGGCTTGGAGTTGGTTGAACGCGCATTGAAGCGCAACGCAAAATAAAAGCACATTGTTTGAACTATATTCACGGCATACCGCCGCCTCTTTTTATTGGGTCGCCTTGGCACTTTGGGGTGCCTAATAAACATTAAAACATCGACTCTGGCCGGCGAGTATACCCGCGGCAGAGTAAACAACATTACAGACAATTGATGAGACAAAATCAAATCGACGAACGAGCCATGATGGCCATGCCGTAGCCTTACCGAAAACCGCATTTCAAAAGTGCTTCGAAGATTGGAAGAAGCGCTGGCATAAGTATCTGAGGGGAATTACTTTGCAGGAGACAAAATGGATATTGATGAATACAAAAATATTTAAAAAAAATTCAAAATTCCAAAAAAAAAGCACCTTTTCCTTTAAACACTTATTAAAAGTGTAACGAAGGCCTTTTATTCATAAAAATAATTGCACCTGCGGTTATTTTTATAAGCTCATACGATTTAATTAAACTTTGTTTAATTGCCACTCACATATCTAAATAATATCTATCCATCTGTTTTGGTAGCATGTCGCACGAGTGTTTTAGCTCGTTGGCCGGTATGGCCGCCAGTATGCCGGTGCAAGCCTTTTGAATGGCCTCTACGTCTTCATAACACTTTCCTTTCATGGGCAAATGCATTTTTCCGAAAAGGTAGAAGTCGGACGGTGCCATATCAGGTGAATACGGTGAGTGGTTAATGGTTAAAATATGATTTTTGGTCAAATAATCGGTCACAAGCGTCGATCGATTCTGAGCAATTTTTGGTCGTCAGTCAATTTGTGCGGAACAAACCGTGCACACACCTTTCGTGTAAGCCCAAATGTTCGGTAAACATGCGATAAATCGATGTTTTGGAGATATTCAATTCCATTTCCATCAATTTCAATGATGATTTCGCCTGATTTTAGATGAATTCACGCACAGTTTCGATGGAATTTTCGGTGATCACGAATTTTGATTGGCCCACATGTTGATCGTCATTTATGTCCTCACGACCACTTTGAAAACGTTGAAACCACTCGTGCACTCTGCTACCGAATAGGCAATCATCGCCATAAACTTGTTCCATAAATTGAAACGTTTCGGTAAAAGTTTTACCAATTTTAAAACAAAATTTAATGTGAGCTCTTTGTTCGAAGCTCATTTTCGCACCGATAACACAAACATACTGACACTTAAAACGAAATAACTTCACTTCCAATCGATGAAATGTCATGAAATTCTCACTGAACAATCGATAAAGATAGCAAATTTTAACGCACCAGTCGACATATAGATAGCGCCACCAGGGGGCGCTAGATTCAAAAAGTCCTGTTTACTTTGGAATGCAGCTTTATTTTTTTTATAAGCTTTTTTATTCATTTAGGGTTGGTGATCTTTATAATATATTCAGTTAAAGAAACCTTTCTTCACACCTTTCAAATTTCCACCTTATACTTATAGTATTGTAAAAGCTAGGCCTTTCCAAAAGCAACTTACTTTACCCTTATCAATGTGTTGAACACGACTCTCCTATGGTATATCTTCCTGGAATCACAGAGGACAAAGCTTACTCTGCACCTACAATACTATATTAATAAATATTGGGTGTGGAGTAAAACTCGTTTGTTAATTTTATCTTGTTTTACACAGGAACTCACATTTGTAACAATTGCGTTTACAATTTGTAACGACGCTGGCAGTGAATATCGTATTTTTTTTTTATTGCACTACCTTGGTCAAGCAGTGCTTCGGCTGCTTATGTACACACACTGCTTGTGTAGTTACGATTTGAATTAGCGTTATGTTTTAGCGTCAACTGCCTACGATCACATTTTTTTTTTGGCCTTAGTTAACAAGATAAACAAATTTTCTCAATTGTTTTTACTTATTTTAAAGGGAGTTAATTTTCTGCAACCGCACGGCTATCGGCCACCTATTGTTTATTTTCATTGTTGCACAGTGGCAATATTTGCGAGTTGTCAGTGGCCCTTTCTTTAACCTTGACCTGTCGAAAGGAAATTGTCAAAAGAGGTGTGAAGCAATTTCCGTAAAAGAAAGTTTTCTTGCTTGGCCTTAGCATCCGGATCTTTCTTTTTACTTCGAGATCGCCTAGAGGAAGGTTGTGCATTATCCACGCTAACGGGGTTATCAACTTTTTGGTTATACAGATTATATTTGTACCTATAACCTACAACCTAATACAGCAACGATAGTATTAACAGCGAATAAAAAAGTATATAAATTGGCGAAAACTAAATTGGAGGATTCTATTGTCGAAAGGATTTTTCTGCATGGTGCCACTTCCGGACATCGGAATTGGCACTTAATAATTAGTCCAATCCAATAGGGCATTAACCTTTGCCTGTCGCTTTGATGCGCGCATGCTAATGCAGCGACTAGGCTAAGGGAGGGGTACGCCAGACGAAGGCGTGCCAGAGGTAAGATCGGCTTTCCGATCAGGCCACTGGAACGGCGAGAAGAACCGTCTCTGCAGTTTCGTGGGTCATATCGTCTATGACGGACGTCGCCTAATGACGGAGTGCGAGTGATTTTTTTGTGTTGTCTTCGGTGAAACCTGTGCCTGGGCAATTGGCAAAGCCCCGTTGTGTTGGTTGGAGGCCCGTGGGAAAGAAAAAGGCATAAATTAGCCTACCCCAACCTTTAAAGGCAACATTATATATATATCCACATATATATTTATATATGTGTCCAGCGCAAAAATGAACTTCTCTAGTGCGCTTATTATTCTTTAATTTTTTTTTCCCCTGTGTTAAATCCAAATTTAAATGTACATATGTGTAACCACGCGAGCAAAGCAACTCGGCATGGCGTGATGAAGTGGGAAAGAATATACCTAAGTGAAAACAAAAAAAAATAATACACAAAGCAAAATTCGTTAGCTACAAATGTGTATGTGCATGGCGACAATTTTTTTTCTGGTTTGTTTAAAAAAAAACACGTTAAAGCCCACCCAGTAAATATCGAACATAAACTTTAGTACAAAAAAATTATGCATGCAAGCAGCGGTGAGCCCACACAGCGCGTCCCCCCCGAAAGATCTTTCGACGTTGGACAA